TAATCTGTTTGTTTTCTATAGTTAAGAGTCTGTTTTTTGGTTTGTCTCCTTTTTTCCTTTGTTTACTCTGTTTCTTAAATTCCACGTGTGAGTGAAATCATATGGTATTTTCTCCGACTTATTTCACTTAGCATTATACTCTCTAGATCTATCCATGCTGTTGCGAATGGCAAGATTTCCTTTTTTTTAGTGACTGAATAATATTTTATTGTGTGTGTGTATATATATATTATATATATATATATACATATAAAAAACCCTTTGAATCAAGTTCTTAATCTGTAATTTCATAGATATGTCCTTGAACCATGAGCGGGTTTTAGTGTGGTCATAATGCCACAGCTAAATTAGATGAAAAAAATTTCTGTATGAGAACTTTTCTGGGAGAAGGTTTAATTTATCTCCCAAAGATTATTCAAACAGTCCATAATCCAAAAAGGTTAAGAAACAGTCTATGTACTGCATAAAATATTTCTTAAGAATAGTTTAAACAATTCTGGATTTTGAGCTAATAATTTTAAGGTCACTCTAATAATAATAAAGTTCAAATTTATTAATTCTGGCACTCTGGAAAACATTATGCCATTATCAACCACTATAACTCTAAACTAAATCAATAATTTTCTGAACTCTTCTATTGCCTAAAATTCAGTTCATTGGCTAAAAACAAATAGAGAATTTGAATTTATGATAAATTTAATGAACAATAGTCACTAAGAGTCTTCTATACTCATGATATTTCTAAGGGGTTGTAAGGAATTTAATCAACAAATTTATTTTGGTACGTGAATCTGCAGCATTCTAAGATTTCCTAGTTGCTCTCTTACTTAGATCATCGGTTTGGTTAAACAAAATAGAAGAGACAGCAGAATTAGAAAAGACCTAGGTTAGATTCAAAACCTGTACTTACAAGCTGTGACCTCAATAATTTCTTGATACTTCTGAGCCTTAGATACTTTTTAATAAAAGCTATTTCATAAAGCAGTTGGGATATTATGGCTCTAAAATGGTCCCCACTGATCCCCTGGAGTGTGGGCTGGACCTATATTTCTAACCAACAGGACACAACTAAGGTGATGGGATATCACTTCAGAGATCAAGTTACATAACATTCTAATTTCCATCTTGCTAGCCAACTCTGGCTGGCTTCGATGAAGCACGCTGCCAAACTGTTAGCTGCCCTGTGGAGAGGCCCACATGGCAAGCACCTGCCAACCTTGCGTTCAGCCTAGTGACAGTAAGAAACTGGGGCCCTCGGTCCAACTGCCTGCAATGGACACTGCCAACAACCACATGAACTTGGAAGTGGATCATTCTGTAGTCATACGTTGAGATAACACTACAGGTCTGGCCAATGCCTTGACTGCAACCTGGCCGGACTCAGAGAGAATGCAAGGAAGCAGGGCCTGGATCTGTGACCCACAGAAACTGATAATACTGAAATAATTAGAATAAATAGGTAATTAAATAAATAAGCAACTGAGAAAACACAGAGGACAGCAGAAATAATATATAAAATATACCAAGTAAAGTACATGATACATAGCACATGTTCCATAGATTCTTATAAACAATATATCCTCAAAGTTATACCAGATAGTTAAATCTCTATAAGGGCTTTAACAAACCTTAATAAAATACTTTAAGGTGATGTAATGGTATAAGTCATCCTAAATACTAAAATCATGATTATAAGAAAATTTTACATGTTGATAATTCATTAACTTTCATAATAGAATAAAAGAAAACTACAAGACATGTTGCAGACATGACAAGGCATGACATGCTACTTAACCTACTTGGGTACCCAAAACAGTTAAGTAAAATAATTAGCTTATTATAATAATTAGCTTTATGAATATAATAATCAGCTTATTAATAATTATTAATAATTAGTTCCCAAATGCTGGTTAGAAAGTTCTACTACTGAAGTTGAATCATGATATTTTTTTGTACATCTCAAGGAAAAAAATTAAAGGGATGTGATGGATTAGAGAGCTCATCATGACTCAGAGGGAGGTCACCATCTGAACAAGTGCTGAGGACTAGTGAACTAGAGAACAAAAAACAATATTTGGCTTTAGTAGTATGAATTAGGTAAAAATAAATTTGTTAAAATGATATATTAGATTTAAAATATCTATTAATTTAAAAATATACATTAGCTTTTCATTTTTTTCATTTTATTTATTTATTTATTTATTTATTTATTTATTTATTTATTTTTAATTTTATTTCAAGTGAGTTAATATACAGTGTAGTCATGGCTTCAGAGGTAGAACCCAGTGATTCATCTCTTACATATGACACCCAGTGCTCATCCCAAAAAGTGCCCTCTTTAATGCCCATCACCCATTTAACCCATCCCCCACCCATCTCCCCTCCAGCAACCCTCAGTTTGTTCTGTCGGGAAGCCTGACTGACTCAATCTATACAGCATGTGACTCTTGATCTGGGCGTTGTGAGATCCACCCCCACAATGGGTGTATAGATTACTTTAAACATTTTTTTTTTAATTTAAAATACAAATAGTAATGTGTATCCTTGCCTTAGTATAAGTCTAAAGTTATTCAGTATTTTACCTTCCTCGTGAACAATACAAAAACCTCAGAAAGCCTTTAAATCAAATCATACCCTTTCATCTCCATGCTTTTTCATTCAGAATTATAGTTTGCTTCTTATGGGCCTCAAAATGAGATATTATGATTTTTCATAATACTTATTTAGATTTACACAAATGTGTAACAATTCTGCTTTTTATCATCGCTTCCTACATCCCACCTCTTTTTTCTAGGTTCAATTTCTTTCTTACTGAAGTACAATCTTTTAGTAGTTCTGCAAAGGTGAGTAATGAACTGCCTTTCTTTGTTTGAACAAATCTTAGTATCACCTTTAATCTTGAATAAAAGGTCTAGAACCCTAAGTTCATTATTATTTTTCTTCAGCACTTTGAAGACTTTGCTACATTGTCTTCTGTGCGCAAATATTACTGCTGAGAAGGCTACTACAGTCTAACTGCCATTCTTTTCAGAGACTCTGTCTTGTATTTTTGTGGAGTTCTGCAGATTTATGATATGTATCGGTATGGATCTGTATTAATTTATCCTGGTTGGAACTCATTGTGATTCCTAATTTTGAAAGTTTATATCTTTCAATGGTTGTAGAAAATTTTGTATTTCTTCAAATATATCCTCTCTTCCCCGCTTCTCTCTGGTAATCTCTTTTTGGAATTCCAATTAGGAATTCCATTAATCTTGATTTCATATATTCCACCTCATCTCTCTGGGCTTCATTCTGGGTAACTTCCTTTCGGCAAGTAATTCCCTCTTTACATCTAATCTTCTATTTTAAACTTTTGATTTTTAATGAACGACATTTTTGATTTCTGAAGTCATTTTGGTTATTTTTCCGTTATGTCCCCATGGGGCCTTATTCTTTCCTATAGTTTTTATTCCATGTTTTATTTCCAGTCATTTAACCATTTATTTTTGGGGCCCCTGGGTGGCTCAGTCAGTTAAGAGGCCAACTTCGGCTCAGGTCATGATCTCACAGTTTGTGAGTTCAAGCCCCGCATCGGGCTCTGTGCTGACAGCTCAGAGCCTGGAGCTTGCTTCGG